TGGACGTGAGGCTCCTCAGTGAACACGTGTACGTGTGGAAGGTGGTAAGATACCTATGGTTACGTCCAGAATCTGAAGGGGTGCAAAGTCTGCACAAGACGGCAGGAGGCTCAGGGTGAAGGCAGCAGGCCTCAGGAGGTCTTGGGTGATATTTTGAGGTGAGTGGACTTGCAAGCCTTGGGAATGTTGCAGGCTGGTTAGTAGGGCCCTGTGATCCCCAGGAGAGTATGCAGATCTGGGAAGGCGGGATGAGGGTGATGAGTACAGAGTTCTGTAAGGGAAGAGAGTGAGTGTGAGTGTGGGGAACGGCAGAGCCCTGGGGACCAGCATAGGCAGGTGGGGAGCAGGCAGAAGACAGTGGTACTGCAAGAAGCAAACGTAGAGAGCACAAGGGACAGAAGGCTGAGACAACAGGGAGCAGGGGCCGCGGCTTGGGAGTGATGGCAGAAGTCTGCCAGGCTGGAAATGCTGGCGGTGTGGGCACAGGAGGCTGAAGACAGCATAGTGTGTTTAGGGCTTAGGAGGAGGCTGGGAGAAGGGAAGGGAGTTTCTGGGGGTGGATTAGGAGTCTGAGTTCCAAGAGCCGTCCTAGGATAGGATGCTTAGGGCACCAGGCATGTATGATGCAGTTGAGACTAAGCAGGCACACGGAAGACGGGAAGAGAAGTCAGTTGACTAAGGACAAAGTAGCTGACTAGGAGAAGCTAACTTGTGGGTTGTCACTTGGGAGGCTTGGGGGCAAAAGGGCAAATGGCTGCAGAGGAGGAGAGAAGGAATAGGATGGGCTCAGAGGCTAAGGTAGGTTCAAACTCTAGGTGTCAGGGTTGTGAAGGGAACCATAGAGGGGAGGAGACTCAGCAGGGGGTGGGGTGCAAGGCACTGCTCAGTATGGCAGCCTCAGAGTATACCTAGGAGGAAAGAGGAGGTCAGGAGTCTGAGAGAGACAGTATCAGGCTCAAGGATGCCCGGATGAGCGTAGGTCCCTGCAGTGGAGGGCAAATGCTTAAGCATTTAGGAGTCTGAGGAAGAGCAGGCTGCTTGCAGGACCTCAAAGGCCCGGGAACAATTTCAGACCGTTCAGAGCCAAAAGCACAGCCAAGTAGGCCCAGAGTTGGGAAGAGGCTGTGAGGAGTAGAGAGACTGCAGGGGAGGTCCAGGGCTAGGATGGAGCATAGGAGTGCGTGCCGGTCAACCGGAGGTGTAAGGACAGTCCAGGGGGTTGAGCATGGATGCGGGAGGGTAAGGGTATGCTAGGAGCCCAGGGTGCTGCCAGAGGCTGGAGAGGAAAGGAGGAAGTGAAGACAAATGGGAGGGAGGTCGGAAGGCTCTCGGGAAGGTTGGGGCCTGAGAGGGACGAAGGCTGCCCAGTAGTGCCAAGACTTCTTTCTGACAGTCGTGCAACCTGGCTAGGAAAAAACGCCAGAGCAGTTAGGCAAATGGCCTGCTCTACAGGAGCCAGGTTCAACTCAAAGTCCCCCGGTCGGTCTCAGGCATTCTGTCTTCTTCCGGCCTCCCCTAGGGCCAGGCAAGCACTTTGCTCTCAGAACATTCACACACGCAAACTGCCTCTCACACAGGGTGGAAAGTTCAGATAGAAGGGGGAATGTGATAAACAGAACAAAGGTGTGGGTGAGGTAATGAGGTGAGTGAGTAAGAAGCCTCCTGATCCTTAGGGACAGCTGCACCTTGAGGAGGAAATAGGCTGCTCCTGGGGAGCTTGCACAATGCAGAAGGGCCAGCGTGTGGGAAAGGACTGGGGAAGAAGGCAGCGGGCTCTGGAATGGAGGGACATGAAGGGAGGGTAGAACCCTGGACAGGAGGATGGGAAGAAGACAAAGATGACAGCAGGCTGGGGAAGAGTGGGCAAGAGGCTGGGCGGTGTGGGAAACCAGAAGCAGTCATGAGAATGGGTGACAGGTTGTCTGACAGGGTGGGGCCCACAAAGGGAAGGCTGTAGAGAGATGCTCTGGGACACAAACTGGGAACTTGGGGCAGGCAGCTTGGGGAGACTCTACCCTCAAGACGGTTGGGACCTAAATACTGAAGGAAACTCAGTTGTGGCATGGGATGCTAGGGGTGAGAGGGTGGAGGAGAGGCTTACAGGGGAGATTTGAGGTGGTGTGGAGGACAGGAAGTTGAATGAGGCTGTAGCCGCTATGGAAGGAAGAAATACAAAGGCGGAATGGCAGGGTAGTGAGTATAGGTTAGGAGGCTGGTGGAAGTCAAAAAGAGGTTCAGGGAGAACAGAGAAGGCTGGAGAAGAGGCGGGGAGTCCAGGAACGTGAAAGGTATTGAGTTTGGTTGAAAGGCTCCATTGCAGGGCAAATCTGTTGGGGGCGCTAGATATGTGCCTGGAGGCCTTGGGGGCAAGCAGGCCTACAGTTGGCTAGCTAGGCCCTCGGGATATTTGGGGATGCATGAGCCAGCTGGGGGACATAACACGGGTCGTGGAGGCTGCCCAGTAGGCATCCCAGCTAGAGGCGAAGGATGACAGGATCCTGGAAAAGGCAGAGGGCTGGGTGGGGGGGTTTACAAGGTTCAATGAGAATGTTAGGAAGCTAGTGAATGGTAGAAGTCTGTAGGGGACCATGGGGTCCATAATGGAGCCCGAGCCCAGAGGAGTATAGGTACACAAGGAAGGACTGGAAGGCGACAATCGGTTGGGAAGGTGGGCAGAAGAAGGTTAGGCTGGATATCAGAGTCCCGCAGAGCCGGGATGTGGATGCACAGGCTTTAATCCCAGCACTCGGGAGGCAGAGACAAGCAGACCTCTGAGAGTTTGAGGCCAGCCTGTTCTACAGAGAGAGATTCAGGACAGGCTCCGAAGCTACACAAAGAAACCTGTTTTGAAAATCAAAGCGAAACAATAAAAACCAAAACCAAGAGTCCCAAGATGGTAAAAGGCTTGGTTGGGTGTAGCAGCCTGGGAAGGGTGGTAGCTGGGGCCTTGTGGTGAGTGAAACTGGCACAGACAGAAGATGGGTGTAGGAAGTCAGTGTCTGGCAGAGGGCAGAGGACTCTGGTAGTCCAGGAGGAGCCTGGGAGGATGCAGGAAGTTGACTAAGGAGAGTAGGAGCCTCAGTTTTGGTTTTTTTTTTTTTTTTTTTTTTTTTGTGAGCATGACAGACTGTAGGTGATCTCAGAGTAGGACAGGAGTCTCTAACTAATGGTGGGTGCCTGGGGGAGGAAAGAAAGTTGGAGAGAGGCCGAGGGTCATGTGGATTGGTGGGTTAGCACAAGTTTGTAGGGAAGGGCGCTCCAGGGAGGAAGGAAAGCTGGGTTCGGGAGAGGCACTCTCTGTTCAGCTAGGTGCTAGGAGTCAAGGGTTACGAATGCCTTTCAAGGAAGACTAAAAACCTCGGGCTAAGGCATCAGTGTGGGGAGACACTAGGTGTGTGGTTATCACGGCAGTAGGCACTGGGATTTGGAGAACGTGGGGCAGGGTATCAGGCCCCGGAGAAAGGAGAAGAGCAAGACGCTGGCAAGGGGGCAGTAGTTAAGGGGACAATGAGAGGCCTAGTAAGCAGGTCCAGGGTGACTGACTGTGGGAGGCTTCAGGGCATTCTGGGTGTCTGGGGAGGGTTGTAGGCTTAGGAAGGAGGCAGGGTGGACCTGGGGAGGGCAGGAGTCTCAGAGTAAGAGGGAACTGAGATGGAGGGGGAGAAGGTCTTAAGGGAGAACAGGAAGCTGGGGAGAGTTGTCAGAAGGCTTAGAAGGCCAGGTCTCACGGGAGGCAGAGAGTACAGGCTAGGCTGGGCAGGGCAGGGCAGGGAGACTGGGGCTTGGCAAAGGGAGCAAGGAGGAGGGCGGATGACTGGAGGGCAGCAGGACAGTGGGGTGCTCAGTAGGGCAGGAACTTCAGGGAAGCATGTTGGAGTTGGGGAGTGCAGGCTGCCTAGGAGGGCAAGCAAGCCTGCAAGGGAAGGATAGTCTCCAGGGGAACAGAGGAGGAGGCAATGGAAGGAGCCAGGAGACTGGGGTTAAGGTGAAAGGCAGGGGAGATAGACGAATGGGCCTCATGAGTCAGAAAGAGGCCACGGACTCAGGGGTAGCCAGTCAAGGAATGGATATGGAAAGAGGGCCCATCGTCTCCCAAGCGGGACGCATCCAGGGGCTCTCAGAGCTATGTCCACCTGGAGTTAGGGGTTCAACTGACCAAGAGCTCCCCAGGGGTCAGAGCACCTTGCTCTTGACCAGAAAAGCACTCGGGGCAGCCCCGGTGGTGGGCCTATGTGCCACGTGCCAGCACAATCATACACCCGAGTCCCTGACTCCTCCATCTCTGTCCCAGTCATCACCCCTCCCCCCAGCTCTGCGGGATCACAGGGCCCTGCAAACCTAAGGAAAGGTCAGACTGGCTTTTGTGTGAAGAGTCAACTCTGCTAGTAGGGTTCTATCCCTGGGAACGGATGGTTCCTTATCCATGAGGAAAAGCTACCGATGCTGTTAACATCCATTTATTAAAATTAATAACGTGAACTCTGACTTTCTGAAATGCCATTGGAGGCTTTGGACAGTTGCAACATTTACAGTCTAGCACGGGAAGATGGGCCACGGGCAGATACTGCCTGCCACAGATGGAGTAGGTGTGGGACACTAAAAACCGGCTGTGGGCCAAGAAACACGCCACGCCCCTTGAGGTGTCTCCAGCTGCTGCCTTGGAGCCTCGGGTCAAATGCTTTGTCCTACACGTTCGTTATGGGACAAACCCCAGACACTCTGGCTGCAGAGGGTCCACTCCTGGTCGCAGAAGTCTGGAAATTTCAGCTCAGGTCATATGCTGGTATTGCAGACAGCAAGAGGCAGCCTGAGCACAAGCTCTGATGGATCAGGTCCCCTCCCATGCCGAGCGCCCGCTCCATGCAGACAGGTCTAAGCGGTGTAGTGGCCATGAAATTCACATACCATTTTCTTTAAAATTCCTAACATAAGCATTTGCGCTAAACGAGGCCCAGTACTTATGGAAAGGCCCCGAAGAGGGATTCTCAGGGCCCTCACCCCTACATCATGTTCACCGGAGTCATGGAGATTGCCCTCCAGTTGTAGTTGGGCCGGATGCTTTGCACTATCACCGCGCTGACCACGTGGCCTACAACAGGGGTGTAGGCCACGGGGAGTTTCAGTGAGACCAGGGTGAAAAAGATGGTGTGATTCAGCACTCCTTGTCGTCTGTGGACACTGGTTACATGGACCTGCCGAGACAAAGTGCGGCCTTGCGTGTGGGAACCCTGAATCCCTGCGCAGCCTCTGTCCCTCCACACCCTGCTCCTGAACACTTGTTGGCCCGACCCAGCCTGTCACCTCGTCCTGCCCTGCCTGTTGCACCGCCAACCCCGCCACCCACTGCCTCCCCCAGATCCAACCGCACACCAATTAAAGAGGAGACTGTTCTGGTGGTTCCGTCCAGCTGACGAGAGACCGTGTCCTAAAACTTAGTCGTCAGAGGCCATTAGCCCCGGAGTTAAACGAGGACAGATCAAGGACTGAAACAAGACCAGCATGAAGTGGACTATCCCCTCCCCCACCCTGTCACTCTTCAAGCTCAGGATTTCATCTGAACCTGTCCTGTGCAGACTCAATTTCAGGCTTGCTGAACCCACACCCCATCCAGAGCCCCAGCCCAGGCTCAGGCCGCACCACCAGCCCCAGCCCCAGCCCCGGCCCTTATTTGCATGCCCGCGTTCCCCACAGTCCTCTGCACTGCTCATTTTTCTCTCCCCCTGTTGAGAATAACCCACATAACAGCCCATGTGGTAAGACCTGTGGCTCAGGACGGTATGTCCACGTTCTCTGTTTTCTTCCTTACTTCTTTAAAGCCCTCCGTTGAAATACATAGGTCGAGGAGGTGTCACGCGCGGGTGGGTTCATATTCCCCAGCAGTCCCAGCAGATTGCAAGTCACAAACACCACCCAAGCAGGCTTTGAAATGAGCCCGTAATTACCTCCTGCAGGCGCCTACACTTCGTGGCCTTCAAGGAGTGCACTGTGATCTTCGGTGACCCTTTTTCAGCAGAGTACTCAATATCTAGCCAGTCCCCTTCATAAGGTGTGAAACCTAAGATAGCTAAGAGGAAATCGAGATGAATATTCTGCCGTCTACCTCCAGTCTCAACTCTAGAATGCGCTGTATGAAAGCCATTACACGTTACCTTTGGCCAAGTAAAATTTCACTGCTTACATTGACTTGTGATCCCACGATCAAGCGACTATTAGGTGTAAAGGAAGATGTCTCATAAATCCTCCAGCCAGAAAGGAAATTTCAACCCTTGTTTGTTTGTTTGTTTGTTTGTTTGTTTGTTTGTTTGGTGGGTTGTTTGGTTTTTCAAGACAGGGATTCTCTGTTGTCCCAGCTGTCCTGTCCGGCAAGACCCTTTGTCTACTAGGCTGGCCTTGAACTCAGAGTTCAGCCTGCCTCTACTTCAAGGGCTCTGGGATTAACGGTGCACACAACCACCACTAGGCTCAGAAATTGGGAATTTTTAGACATTGTTTTCGCTCCATTCCCTTAGGCAGGTTAAGTGGGCCCATGGACAATGAGGTCAGAGCCTGTTTCTCTTGGGAACAGTGGATGATTCACTGTTCAATGGGTCACATTTAGAGTCCTCTCTTTGAGACAGGAGCTCATGTCTTCCAGACTGTCTTCAAACTAAGAAATTCCGTCTCCTATTTTCCCTCTCTCTTTGGCTCCCTCTCCCCCCCCCCCCCGTATCCGTCCCCCTTTGTCTATCCCTTGTGCGTCTCTCCTCCCTCTCTCTCTCCTTCACTCTCTTCTCTGTTCTCTCCTGTCCCTTCTCTACGCCTCTCCCTCCTTATCTCTCCCTGCTCATTTCTTCTTTCCTCTAAGTCCCCTTGGTTCCTATCCCATCCCCCAACCCTCTCCCCCCTCCTCCACCATCCCTACCCCCTCCCTCCCTACCTCCTTCCACCCCTCCCTCCCTCCCTCCACCCCACCCTCCTCCCTTCCCCTCTCCTCCTCTCCTTCCCCCTCCCTCCCTCCTCGTATGCACCCCTGCCTCCCTCCCTGACTCTATTTCTCTTCCTCTTTCTCCTCCCTTTCCCCGGGTTTGCTTCTCGGCTTCCCTTTCTCCCTCCATTTCTCTCTGCTCAGACATCTCCTTCCCTCCCTTCCCCTTTGCCTCCATCTCTCACCCCCCTCTGTCTACTCCTTTCCCTCCTTTGCCTCACCCTTCCCCTCCCTCCTTCCCTCTCTCCCCTCTCCCTACTTAAATCTGTCTCTATTTCCTCTTGCCCCCTACGCACCTACTAGACTCCTCCCTTCCTCTCATTTCCTGTCTGTTTTCACCTCTTCCTCCCTGGTCCCCTCCGCCCTACTTCCTCACTTCCGCCTGAACGCCTCCACTACCTCCTCTCTTCCTCATGCACCCTTGACCTTCTGCCCTCCTCACCCCATGGTCTGTGCCCTTCCTTCTCTGACTTCCTCCCTGCTTTACTCTCCACCTCTCTCCTGTGTGTCTCTTCCCTCACATCTTTGTTTATCGTCTCCTTCCCCTCCATATCCCTCTTTTCCACCATCTTGTTTATCATCTCCTTCCTCTCCATTTCCCTCTTTTCCACCATCTTGTTTATCATCTCCTTCCTCTCCATTTCCCTCTTTTCCGCCATCTTGTTCATCGTCTCCTTCCTCTCCATTTCCCTCTTTTCCACCATCTTGTTTATCATCTCCTTCCTCTCCATTTCCCTCTTTTCCGCCATCTTGTTTATCGTCTCCTTCCTCTCCATTTCCCTCTTTTCCGCCATGTTGTTTATCATCTCCTTCCTCTCCATTTCCCTCTTTTCCGCCATCTTGTTCATCGTCTCCTTCCTCTCCATTTCCCTCTTTTCCACCATGTTGTTTATCGTCTCCTTCCTCTCCATTTCCCTCTTTTCGCCATGTTGTTTATCATCTCCTTCCCCTCCATTTCCCTCTTTTCCACCATCTTGTTTATCATCTCCTTCCTCTCCATTTCCCTCTTTTCCGCCATCTTGTTCATCATCTCCTTCCTCTCCATTTCCCTCTTTTCCGCCATGTTGTTTATCGTCTCCTTCCTCTCCATTTCCCTCTTTTCCGCCATCTTGTTTATCATCTCCTTCCCCTCCATTTCCCTCTCTTTTCCGCCATCTTGTTTATCGTCTCCTTCCTCTCCATTTCCCTCTTTTCCGCCATGTTGTTTATCATCTCCTTCCTCTCCATTTCCCTCTTTTCCGCCATCTTGTTCATCGTCTCCTTCCTCTCCATTTCCCTCTTTTCCACCATGTTGTTTATCGTCTCTTTCCTCTCCATTTCCCTCTTTTCCGCCATGTTGTTTATCATCTCCTTCCCCTCCATTTCCCTCTTTTCCACCATCTTGTTTATCATCTCCTTCCTCTCCATTTCCCTCTTTTCCGCCATCTTGTTTATCGTCTCCTTCCTCTCCATTTCCCTCTTTTCTCTACACCCCTCTTACCTATTTCTTCCCTCTTCTCTCTCTCTCCCCCCTCTCCTTCCCTTCTGTCTCTGTTTCCCTTCTCTTACCTATCTCTCTCTCTGTCTCTCTCTTTCCTCTCTCTCTCTTTCCCTCTCTCTCTCACACTCTCTTACCTCCCCCGAGTCTCTGTCTTCCTCCCATTTCCCTCTGTCACTCTCATTTCCTCCGCGACTCAAGTCATCTGTCTCTGTTTCCCTCCCTCCCCTCTCTCCACCCGCTCTGTCCCTCCTTCTCTGCTCTACCTTTCTGCTCCCCCTCTCAGTCCTTCTCTGGAGATTCCTCTCCTATTTGCCCTCTCTAGTTGCCTCTTTCCTCTCTCCCTATTTCTCTCTCCTGTCTCATCCTCCCTCCCTCTCTCTTGCTTCCTCCCCCTCTTACTGCATCCCTCACCCCTGTGCCTCTGTGTCCCCACGCCTCTCCCCCGTCCACATAGACACAGGGGTGTCAGGAACAAACTCAGGTTTTCTGCCGGACAAATACATGCATGCCCTTAACACTCTGCTCCATCTCGCTGGCCACAGCATAGTTTAGTGTTTTGAAAAATACTTTGCCTGTGGCTCTTGACTACCTGTAACTCATGCTCCAGGAGCTATGACACTCTCTTCTGAACTCTGTAGGCAACTGTACTTATGTGCACAGACCAACACATACACACAGGCGAGCGCGCGCGCGCATGCGCGCGCACACACACACACACACACACACACACACACACACACAAAGATGAGTAAACCTTAAAACTATCAAGATTGGTATACATTTCTAGTAATTTTCTATCAGAGTTAAATACTCACATGGATTAAGAATCTGTCCAGGTTTTCCAGTGTGCACTCAACTAAAGAGTGTCTAGTAAAAGGCAGTGTGATATCCCCAAAGATTACCTGTTTATACGTGTATTGTACTATACTTTCAGTGCCCAAAAACATCAGAAATAACAAAGGCCCTAGAATGCAGCCTAGGGTGCTGCTGCCAAAGCAATGTCAGCACTCAAACCTGCAAATGTGAAAGCAGACAAGTTTTAAAATGTAAATGGAACCTTTGGAAATGCTGTCCAGATAGAAGTAGTACTCCTCCGCGATGTAGACGGTATCTTTCTTGACGAGGGAAACACACACAGATAAATCACGGATCTTGGAGTCTGGTTCTCTAGGCTTATCTTCTTCGGAGAAGACACAGACCTAGCCGATGCGGAAGCAGCAATGAAAACGATCAAAATCAAAATGGAATCGTGCGTCTATCACACTGCCTGTGGAAGGGCTGAGTTTGGAAAGGCCCCGAGAGAATACAAGATTCCAGATTTAAGACACTCTCCGCTGTTGCAAACAGCTTGCCTCCCTGGGGATCTTGGTACACTGGGCTCCTTCCAGCAGTCGCTACCAATTCCATGGTGTTTCCTCAAAATAGACCTTCCTTGAGGAGTGAAACACCACACAATCTTCTCTATCCACAGCCACCGCTGCCAGTCCCAAGGAAACTGCACTACAGACCTGTCTGTGCCCAGATGCCACACGACTTCCTAGCCATAGTGTCCCATGAACCTACCCAGAAGCCTCACGTCTAGGAAACATTATGGCAAATCCCAATCCCTTAACACAACAGAGGAAGAAGACAGATTCAGTCATTTCTGAGGACAATGGAGACAGCCTTTCAGTCAGTAGAAGCCAGAGGCAGTGTGTGTTTGTTTGTGTGTGTGTGTGTGTCTGTGTGTGTGTGTCTGTGAGTGTGCGTACATGTGTGTGTCTATCTTTTTGTTTGTGTGTGTGTGTGTCTGTGTGTGTATCTGTTTGTGTGTGTGTCTGTGAGTGTGCGTACATGTGTGTGTGTCTATCTCTGTGTTAGTGTGTATGTGCGTGTGTCTTTCTGTGTGTTTTTGTGTGTGTCTGTCTGTTTGTGTGTGTGTGTCTCTGAGTGTGCGTGCATGTGTGTGTGTGTGTCAATCTGGGTGTTTGTATGTGTGTATGTGTGTGTCTGTATGTGTGTGTCTGTGTGTGTGTGTGTGTCTGTATCTGTCTGTCTGTGTGTGTGTCTATGAGTGTGTGTGTGAGTGTGTGTCTATCTTTGTGTTTGTGTGTGTGTGTCTGTGCCTCTTAGTGTGTGTGTGTGTCTGTGAGTGTGCCTGCATGTGTGTGTGTCTGTGTGTTAGTGTGTGTGTGTCTGTTTGTGTGTCTGTGTGTCTGTGAGAGTGCGTGCAAGTGTGTGTGTCTGTGTGTTTTTGTATGGGTGTCTGTAAGTGTGCATTCATGTGTGTGTCTGTGTGTTTGTGTGTGTGTGTGTGTGCGTGTGTGTGTGTGTCTGTGTGGGTGTCTGTCTGTGTGTTTGTGTGTGCGTGTGTGTCTGTGTGCTTGTGTGTGTGTGTCTGTGTCTGTGTGTGTCTGTTTGTGTGTGTCTGAGTGTGCATGCATGTGTGTGTGTATATCTGTGTGTTTATGTGTGTGTGTCTGTGTCTGTTTGTGTGTGTGGGTGTGTGTCTGCTGTGTGTTTGTGTCTGTCTGTGTGTGTATCTGTCTGTCTGTGTGTTTGTGTGTGTGTGTCTGACTGTGTGTTTGTGTGTGTCTCTGTGTGTGTATCTGTCTGTCTGTGTGTTTGTGTGTGTCTGAGTGTGTGTGTGTGTCTATCTTTGTGTTTGTGTGTGTGTCTGTGAATGAATGTTCGTGTGTGTGTGTTTGTGTCTGAGTGTGTGTGTGTGTCTATCTTTGTGTTTGTGTGTGTGTGTGTGAATGTACGTTTGTGTGTGTGTGTGTTTGTGTGTGTGTCTGTCTGTGTGTCTGTGTGTGTGTGTTAGTTTGCGTGCATCTGTGTGTGATTGTGTGTGTGTGTGTCTGTGTGTGTGTCTATATGTTTGTCTGTGTCTATGTGTGTGTGTCTGTCTGTCTGTGTGTCTGTGTGTGTGTCTGTGTCTGTTTGTGTGTGTGTGTGAGTGTGTGTATGTGTGTCTATCTTTGTGTTTGTGTGTGTGTCTGTTTGTGTGCGTGTCTGTGATTGTGCTTGCATGTGTGTGTGTCTATCTGTGTGTTAGTGTGTGTGTGTCTGTGTGTGTGTGTCTGTGAGTGTGCATGCATGTGTGTGTGTCTGTGTGTGTGTCTGTGAGTGTGCGTTCATGTGTGTGTCTGTGTGTTTGTGTGTGTGTGTGTGTGTGTTGGGGGGATTTCTCCACTGTGTGGGAGGGGACAAGCAGTGAGATATGGTTCCTCTTTCCTCTCTCTGTGTGTGCACATAGTCAAGTCCAGCCTTGCTAAATGTTCAGGTGTGACTAAACTGTCATAGGAAACAGGCCATGGGTGAGTCAGGAGTCAGCGTGAGACTCTGTGTGTGTTCTGACTGAACATGTGGCCAAGAAGAGCTATACATAACACATGAACACTGAAAGTCAAAAAGGTCAAAAGGTGGTGATGTGACAGGGACCCACGAGGGCCTCATATGTCCCTTTTCTTAAGAGTCCCAGGTGCTTGCTATGCAGACAGTAACCATGTGCCTGATTGATCACTGACTGTCACAAATAAGAACGGAAGCATTCTCCTGAAGATTTCTGCCAGCTCCCAAGGAAACTTCCATGTTGCGTCTCCCTTCTAGGAAGGGAAGGCTTTGGGTGTTCAGGGCCCTTCCTTGCACATACTGCAAGAGAGGCAGCCTATTGCTAGGAGGATGGATACCTGCAGCAAAGGTAGCAGAGGATTTCATGCAATCTCCTCTCGGTACTATACTTCGGGACTCTATGAAGACTCGACTCTTAGATCTCACACCCTGAATGGGAGACCCCAGTGACTTTTCCTTGTTACCTCCGTAAGTGTTTTTTGGCAGATGGACACACATCTTTTGAGATGGCAGGGCCACTCTTGGGAGTGCATTCTTGAAAACACAGATTTTTACCTGACAGTAACAGTTGCAAGACAGCACTGTGTCTACTGCTTATCACTGTCGATCCTTCTGTTTGAGCAATGGGACAGCATGGATGTTTACAGCGTATGACGTGGAACGCTGGGTGGGTATGGAGGCATTGTCACCATGCTCCACAGAATGAGGTTGGAGGATTCCAGAGTATGAGGACACCCGGGCAGTAGATTGAGACACACCAGCACCACCCTGTGCGCTCTCTCTCAATCTCTCTCTCTCTCTCTCTCTCTCTCTGGCTCTCTCTCTCTCTGGCTTTCTCTCCTGCCTCTCCCCTCTCCCTCTCAGGCCCCCACCACACACACACACACACACACACACACACACACACACACAGGAGAGGGAGGAACACAGGGAAGCTACAGCTACAGGGCAGTGTGCATTTCACCACAAGCAAGCACAGTATATGAGCTCTGGGGAGGTTCGTTTAGGTTAGCTTAAAGAGCAACAGCAAGGTTGAAAGCCCCATGGGAAAAGAGTCTTCCCGAACATTCGCAAAGCTTACTTCGGTTGCTTTCAAGTCATGTGACAGTGGGTCTTCCTCCACAAATGCGAGGACTTGGTCTCCAGCTTGCAGAGGCACTGGGCCGATCACAACATCGGTGCTGAAGAAGACACAGTTTTCGATCCAGCCATAATCATTGCCACAGCTTGTCACAGTGCCTTTCACAATCTTGGTGTTGGGTTCGCCTGTGAACCGGACACGCAGCAGATGCCAAGAGTTAATCTCAGAAGCAAAAACCACCCTGGCGAATCCTCCCCCATGATGGTATGGCACACAAACATGTCCTGCAAACACAACGCTTCGGGGTGGAGGGGCCCATGCAAGGGACTGCACGTGTGTGGGGTGGGGACCTCTCAGACTCTGGAGGCACAATGTCAGGTTTAAATCCTGACGTTGCCCAGCTCTGCACAGGAGGACCCTGCTGAAGAGCACCAGTTGGGAAGCAGACAGCCTTGGTTATGTGCACTGTGTCCTTCCCTTACGGTCTATGTAACCCCTAGTACATTTTTTTTGTTAACCGTCTCTGCTCTTGTAAGGAAATTATGTCTCCTGGTTTCTGTTGTGAACATAACCTGACACACACGTGTCAACCCCATAGACCTGTAGGTGTCTTGCACACCTCAGTGGTCAAGCTCTGTGGGTGGACATTCTTTCCAGGACCACGATTACTGTCAAGGGTTGTCTAATGAGCACCACAGTGAGACGCGTGCCCAGGACTCCTCCGTGATGCAGCTTAGGTTGGCATCGCGCTCCTGGCCCAAATGGCTGTAGGATTCGCAAGGCACGATGGGGCTTCTCTTGAGGCATTGCTCATGAACATGAGCCACACGCTTAGCCCATAGAAACGCCATGCACAAGTTGGGATGACTCCAGGAACGCTTCTTACGCTGCCCAGGACCCCCAGCCTCTCACAGGCCTTCACCCATTGTGCTTGAGTGCTCGCGTAAAGTGAGATTCGATGTACAAGGGGCTTAAATCGGCCCCTGATCTCCCACGCGTGGCAAAGACCGCGCACTGACTCCCTTCCCGCCTCAAATACCAGCGGGGATGGGAACCGGGACTAATCTGAATCGGCGCCCAAATGGGGTCTTCTCTTCTCCTGGAAGTAGGAGAAATGCCCTCGAGGGCTCTTTGTGCCCCAGCCCTTGAGAATAGGACAAGGTTTTCCCCACATTGGCCCACCAAGAGAATTTGGTATAGAGTTCGCAGTTTACCCAACTCATGGGTACCCGGGGGCAACCTCCCACTCAGCAGCCCCTGAGGACGGCTGCGGGCCTCTACTGATCCTCTCTCTCCACACACCCACCCTCTCCGTGTCCTGCCCTGAAGTCTAGGCCACTGAGTGCCTGGAAAGTAAGTACCTTCCAGCTGTGCCCGGTCTCTTTCCACAGATTCAATCTTCCACTGAAAGAAGAACATAACACTGCGCAACAGCCTGAGTAAGCGGCGGAGACCACAGTCAGAGCAGCCAGGGCAATAGCAGCATGAAGACCTGGACGCCATGACCCCCATGGTGCCACCTCCTGAGTTGCTGTCTCGCTCCCCAAGAGAGGGGTTCCAGATGGCTACTGCGCAGCCCTCAGGAAGGCTGGGCTCATCCTACCACCGCAGCCGCTCAGCACCAGTCTGGCTGGTCCACAGCCCCTCCTGACAAGCTGGCAACCACAGGCCATTGTTCCCACCAGCAACCACTGTGAGCTCGGCATGTGCTCACAAAGCCCTGCTGGCCAATGGCAGGCACTGAGAGAGGAAGCAAGGGTCCTCGGGTGCATCATGTGCATCATGCCCCTTACCAAAGGACGACCATGGAAAGGTATTGCCCCGGGAACCCTGGGGCGTTCTCACAACCGTTCGAAAGATATGGCTGCAGTGTTTCCCAGCAAGATTAGAGCTTATGGCAGAAAGGTGCCCCCGGCGGTTCCAATGAAGTCCAATGTCCCCCTCAGCAGGCAGAGGGGCTGCTGAATGGTTCCCCAGTGTCAACAGGGCCTGCGGTGGCGGTGGAAACAGCAGAGGGTTCCTGTGAGTGAGCCACAGCCTAGGGAGGTGGTGTTCTTGAGGGGGCGTGGTTCCTAGTAGCATTTCACTTCCGAACCCTCTGAGATGCCTGGGACCCTTGAGTAGGTCACATCTGAGCCGTGGTCAACACCCGTCATTTAAGCTAGAGCTCCTGCGCTGGAAACCAGTCACACATTGTCACAGAACCCCCTCATTCCCTTTGCTACCTCTCATGCACACCTCCTAATTCTGTTTGCCACCTCTCATGTACTCACGGTTAGCCTCAGTATGCAAGAACTCTGAAGTGCACTTTACCTTTACTCATCTCTTTAGCAAGGCCCTGTGGGCCACAGACTCAGCTCTAACTTGAAATGAGAGAATAAAACAGGCGATTGTCCTTGCACTATGGCTTAGTTTTCTTGTAGCCTGAGGAAAGTCCACCTGATCCACAGGGTGACGAAAAGAAGTAAAGGGCCCTCAGTAGTGGGTGTCCTCAAAAAGGCAAGGTGACACATAAATACCCTTCAGGAATGAGGTTTATCATAGCAGCAGGCCTTTGAGACATGAGTGAGCCTCGTGGGGGGAAGTAGAGCTTTAGGCAGAAGGAAATGTAACCCCCCTGGACAGGGACACACGAAGGGGCGGCTTCCCGTTAAATTCCACACGCTGGCTTCACTCGCAGTGAGAATAAGATGATGCATTTCCTTTCAGCTAACATCCACTTGTTGTCTTCTGGGGTTTGGATCACCTCACTGGGGAGATGGAAGAGAAAACTGGAACTGGGAAGGATTTCATGGCTGAGATAGGAAGCCAGTAGAATGGAAAATCCCTGGAAGCTACTGGGGTCATCCTAGGGAAGAGTCCTAGTAATGGAGGCTGTAGAACCTGCACCGACCATCTCCTGAACCCAGGCAAGGCCTCCAATGGAGGGACAGGGCCACCGATCCAGCCACAAAGCCTCTGACCTACAAATTGTCCTGCCTGCAAAATGTGCTAGGGTAAAGGTGGTTCAGAACTTCTGGGAGTGTCCAAACTATGACTGGTCCTACTTGAGAGCCACGCCACACGCCACACGAGGGAGCCCATATGTGAGTCTGCCTGGACAGTCAGGAACCAAAGGGCCTTGATTACCCAGAGACCTCGGATAGAAACAAATCTGACCAGAAAAAGAAAAAAGAAAAGAAAAAAACCCCAACATACTCAATGTAATGACTGCATACTAATAGAATGAAGCCTAGCATAATCCTCATCAGTGAGGCTTCATCCAGCAACTGATGGGAGCAGATGCAGTGAACCACAGCCAAACATTAGGCAGAGCTCCAAAATCCTATGGAAGACAGAGAGGAAGGAATTTAGGAGTCAGAGGGGTCAGGGACACCACAAGAAAATGGCCCACAGAATCAACTAACCTGGGCTCGCAGGGCCTCGCAGAGACTGAACAGGCAGTCGGGGAGCCTGCATGGATCTGACCTAGGCACTCTGCATACATGGTATGGTTGTGTAGCTTGGACTTATTTGGGCACTCCTGACAGTGTCTGCGGGGGGGGGGGGAGGGCTGTCTCTGACTCGTTTTCCTGCTTTTGGGACCCTTTCCTCCTACTGGGTTGCGTGATGCATCCTCCATATGCATATCAGGGAATGCGCCTGATCTTGTTGTAATTGGAAATGCCAAGTTTGGTTGATATCACTGGGAGGGCTGTCCTTTTCTGAAGGGACACAGAGGGGGAGTAGATCGGGGCCAGAGAGGATGGGGGTACTGCGAGGAGAGGAGGGGGTGGAGACTGCAGTCAGGATGTAAAATATGACAGAAAATAGCCAAAGGGGGGGGAAATACAAAATAAAGAGTGAGTCTATGCTGAACATGGTGACAGATGCCTTTCATTCCAGCATTGTGAAGGCCAGAACAGGCAGATCTCTATGAGCCTGTGAGTGTGAGGCCAACGTGGCCAACATACCGAATTCCAGGCCAGCCGAGACCATGGACTGAGACACTGCCTCAAGAAGTACAGAAAAGGGCTGGAAATTAGAATGAACTGGGCAGGGACAGAGGCAGCAGGGGAGGTGGTCGGACAGAGGACACCTTCACAGAACAGCCTTCATCTCCAGACAGAGTCCACCATCGTCTCCTGGCGGAAGCTCAGACCAGTCGTTACAAGAAATTCAAGGTCTGACCTTATAACCATTTAACAGCAGCAAGAAAGTTTCACATCATGGGACTGAGCTCAGGGTCGCTTCATGTGATAAGCAATATGCGTAAGTCGAGGTGCCATGCATTCACAGCTCTCGAGCTGTCAATAAATTCCTTATTGACTCTTTGGGAATTTCACACCATGCACCCCAATTCAGTTCCACTCACCTCCAAGACCCTCCGTATCCTCCCCTGCCCCTTGCAGCAGTGACACACCAATTAAAAACTGAAGGAAAAAAAGTCCAACCAAGACAAGACGAGCCAACAAACAAACTAAAACCAAAAGAACAAACAAACATAAAAGAGCAACAGCAAAAAAACCCTCTTCAGAGCATCCATATTTCCCGCTCTCCAACACCTCGTTTGTCCTGCTGGCATTGGGAGCTGAGGTGTGGCACACACTGTACCCTTCCCTCCATTCAGCCTTACTAGCAAATGTTCATTACAAGGAGTCACTGGTCTGCTGCAAGATGTCTGATTTCTGGTACCCTGTCATCACTGGACCCTCACCCAAACTCCTCCTGGATATCCTGTGGCTGCCCTGAGCCATGGAGATACTGCTGTTATCATTCCACAGGACGAGTCCCTTCACAAGCTCCAGCAGGTCCTAGATGGGGCAGATATCAGGAGTGGGCCCACCCCAGGCCTCGCTGTGGGCCTGGGTGGGAGTTGAGCTGGTCAGCCCAGGCCATCTGGCCACCCTCCTCAGGCGAAGGGCGGGGCCAGCTCCCCTACTCCCTGTTTCATCAAGATCAGCTGTCCCCCACAGGTGGTTAGGCAAGGGGCCATCTCTCCCGAGTGGGGAGGGGCAGCTCTCCCATGAGGCCTGGAGCAGGCTCTCTCACTGCAGTGTCCAGGGAGGAGCAGCGCCAGAGAAGGCCAGAGCTGGCTCAGCACAGCCTTCTGATGCTATCACACATGATCCCCATGGTCCCCTGAGGTGACACAGGCTACAGATAGCAACACAGACCCCAGCTGCAGCTGGGCCACGGAGCCAGACATGGCCCTCAGCAGCATTTTTGGCCTGGATGAATGACAGCCTGGCTCCAGGTGGAAGTACAGGCTTCTCAGATAAGGAAGGATGGCTCTGGTGGCTCCCCACCACCACCACACACCCACCAACAGGGCCACAGGTTGGCACCCCGACCCTGGGCTACCCTCTAACCTTTGGTGACAACACAGAGCCCAGCTACTGTGGGACCGCACACCCAGCAGACATACGTAGTCCTGGGCAGCTTCTGGGTCTGGATGTCAGCATGGCCCCAGGTGACAGTGTAGTCCAGTGAGGTCAGCACGGCCCCGGGTGGCAGCAGGACACGTCACCAAGATCAGCATGGCCCCAGTGGCAGAAGGGCTGTTGGACAACTACGAGGCCACTGGTGGCAGGCAGCCCCAGACACTAGGCACCCTTGAGGCCTTTAGTGGCAACACGGGCCACATTGGTTCTTAACACCGTGGCAGGGAGAGTTGCAAAGAGCCCTGGCCGGATTTAGGCTTTGGGAGCAGGCTGAAGAGTGGAGCTCCATGCTCTAACTCAGGGCCCCAGGGCACCTTTCACCTTTAATGACTGACCATTAAAACCAGGAGGTCGCTGTAGCCATGTCGTCTGAATGCCCAGCACAGAAGTACAGACACTATCTGGACACTGTCCCTTTTGAGCCTTCCTCCCCCACATCTGCTGAGAAGGACCGACAGACATGCCTCTGGATTGTCTGGCTGCTGTGTGAGTTCCGGGACATCGTTACCTCATCCTGTTGGGAAATGTTAAAAACCACCTTCAACATTTTACCCAGGAAACATTGTCCGTTTTCCCTGGTCCCATATATGCTCCATTGAAGAGCGCTCCCCTGAAAAGCGTATAAAACCCCTCTCTGTGGTGGCAGAAGCCATCAATGCAGGAAGGGGCCAGAGAAACTGTCCAGCCAGCAGCGCCAAGTCAACTGAGAGCAGTCGGCTTGGGCCAAAGGGGCCTAAAACCCAAGGGCTCCAAGAGCAGCCACCAGGCAACACTGCCCCATGGGTGAGCACACACCGGGATGACTCTCGTCCCTGCCCTCGTCTCGCCCCCTCTCCCTCACTTTGGGTCACTTGTTGACTTTTCCATAGAAACATGTTATTCACACAAGGAGTATCTGTACTGAAATCTGTGATGCCTAATCTGTGTCATTCCTGTATAAGGTTGAAGGCACAGAGCTGAGTCATTGTCCTCAGGCTCCAGTCACCATGAAGTAAGTGCTCACAGAGGAAGGCTTTCATGTAGGACAGACCACCCCGGGATGGGAGCGTGTATTGATGACAGAGGGTCTACACCCTGCCA